ATAATTTCTCTAATACCAACACCTTTAGTAAAAGAAATCAGCAAAATGTTAAGAAAAACGAATTCCAGAGGGTTTTTTTTCCCATCTAGTTAAACCGTTTTTGTTTTTTTTTTGGAAAATTATTCCTTATTCCAGAAATTCTTAAACTCAAGAAAAAGAGGACGGCTCTCAACAAGATGTCTTGGGACTGTGGCTGCTACACTGGGCTCCACCCTAATAACCATCGTGGGGAGGGGGCAGGACCCGGCCGAGTTTCCTTCTGTTGCACAAAGGGCCACTACGGGTCAGAACCGACTCTGGCACCTAACTGCAACAGCAGGATGATAACATTTAGAATGTTTTTAGGTCCCTCATTGTGACTCACTTCTTGAGAAAGCTTTTCTCAAAGTGAGCTAAGCCCATGGCTGCCACCACAAGAAAAACAATTCCCTGATCTTTCATACACATTACCCCATATGGAACTGTCATTGAATTCATTCTGACTCCTGGCAGCCCGAGAGGACAGAGCAGAGCTGCTGCACAGGAATTCTGCGGCTGTCAATCTTTAGGGAAGCAGACCGCCTCCTCTTGCTCCCTCAGAGCCGCTTGTGGATTCAAACTGCTGACTTGCACTTAGCAGGCCAGCGCATAACCCACTGAGCCAGCAGACTCCCCTCACAGACGTTAGAACTCCGAAATAAATAAAACTATGGTAATAAAACTATATGGTAAATAAAACTAAAGAGGACTCTTTACTACCAGCCTTTTGGAACCATTTTATTATGCTAGTAAATTAATGTGCTGATGTCTTTAAATTTCCACTGATCTAGGATGCGAAAGTTTAAAATTTTAACATCACTGAAATTAGAATGAGCAATATTATTGATAGCATGTCATAGGTTAACTGACAGGAATTTTCCTTCTTAGAGGTACACAAAATGTGCTTCTTAAAACAAAGACTCTTAGATTTCATGAAACAAAACAGTACACAGGAGCTCCCAGATTTTTTGGCAGGGAGAGATGTGAAGTTTCTGGATTAAATCCCAAAATCATATTTTACCATAAATAATGCTTTAAAAATTAGATGGGAATAAATAGACAAGACAGTCTATGAATAGCCAAAGCTCCATTTCCAACAAAATATTTTTTAGAAATGCCTTTTTTTTTTTTTAACAGGAGGAGAGCAAGTCATTACCAACTGATCCCAGAGCTTGACTGAGCTATCAGAATGGAGAGAGATGATTGAAAGGCTGGGACAGCATCATGCTGAACCAAGTCCTGTGGTAAAATGACTGGTATCAAGACAGAGTCAAACTAAAGAAGAGCCCATCTTGCTTTCCTTGTCTACCAGATTTTGTTTCATTCCCCATCAGCTGTTAATCAGAGATCCCATTCTCAAAGGCAGGGGGAAGTTGAAGGCTAGAGGGGGCTTACAGGAACGCTTCGCAAACTCCCAAGTGCTTACAAACTACCTAATGTTCTTACCAAAATGCAAATTCTGATTAGTAGGCTGGGGTTCTAAAGAAAGAAAGAAAGCCAGAATTGTCATCAAGCCCATTCTGACTCACGATGACCCCTGCCTGTCTCAGAGCAGAATGGTGTGCTCTGTAGAGTTTTCAGCAGCAGATGTTTTCCCAACTCTCAGTAGAATCGAAGAACCATCACCCATGCTGTTGGCAGCCAAGCCAGTTAATCATCTGCACCATCAACATCTTGATGAGGTCCTGGGATTCTGCATTTCTAGCAATTGCCCAGGCTGCTGCTGCTGCTGCTCAGTGGGCCACACATATAGAAGCAAGAAAGAGGACCCCATTGGAGATTAAAAGGTAAAAAGAAAGGTCTCTCTTGATTAGAAGAGATGGCCGAGAATCATTGCAGTATGGCACCAGTGGGATGTATAAAATGTTCCTGTCTAGATAAAGTGGGCGCATAAGTGAATGTGGTGAAGAAAGCTGATGGTGCCTGGCTATCAAAAGATATAGCCTCTGGGATCTTAAAGGCTTGAAGATAAACAGGCAGCCATCTAGCTGAGAAACAACAAAGCCCACATGGAAGAAGCACACCAGCCTATCCCGACATGATCACTGAAGACAAAGCGGGTGCATAAGCAAATGTGGTGAAGAAAGCTGATGGTGCCTGGCTATTGAAAGATATAGAGTCTGGGGTTCTATAGGCTGGAAAATAAACAAGTGGCCATCTAACTGAGAAACAACAAAGCCCACATGGAAGAAGCACACCAGCCTGTGAGATCACAAGGCGTCGAAGGGATCAGGTATCAGGAATCAAAGTCTAAGAAAAAAAAATCATAGAATTGTGAATGAGGGGGAGTGAGGACCCAGGGCCCACCTGTGGGAAATTGAACATCCCCTTGCAGAAGGGCCGGCGGGAAGAGATGAGCTAGTCAGGGTGCAGTGTAGCAATGATGAAACATACAATTTTCCTCTAGTTCTTGAATGCTTCCTTCCCCCCCCCCACTATCATGATCTGAATTCTACCTTATAAATCCAGCTGAACCGGAGGATGTACAGATAGCAACTGGAAACACAGGGAATCCAGGACAGATGAACCCCCCAGGACCAGTGGTGAGAGTAGCAATACAGGGAGGGTAAAGGGAAGGTGAGGGAGAAAGGGGAAAGAATCTACATATAACCTCCTCCCTGGGGGACGGACAGTGGAGAAGTGGGTGAAGGGAGATGTTGGATGGTGTAAGATATGATAATAATATAAATAATAATAATTCATAAATTATCAAGGGTTCATGGGGAGGGGGGACCGGAGAGGGAGGGGGAAAAATGAGGAGCTGATACCAAGGGCTCAAGTAGAAAGCAAATGTTTTGAGAATGATGAGGGAAACAAATGTACAAAAGTGCTTGACACAATGTATGTATGTATGGATTGTGATAAGAGTTGTATGAGCCCCCAATAAAATGATTAAAACATTTTTTCTGTCTAGAAACACAGTTTTATTCTGAAATGTATAAATATTGTCCAAGCAGGTATTTTATGTATTTGTTTAGCCAATTACAGTTCATTGAGATAATGTGGGTAGGTGTGAGATTTTCTGTCGGTCCAAGTAACACCTAAAAATATGCTTGGGTATTCTAGGAAAAGAACACTTTTTGTCTGCTAAATACTATTTGGGGAGTTAAGTAAACAGACGTTTCCCTAGCATATTTTTCTCTTTCAAGTTGGCAGATAATGTCAGAAACTTGGAAGTTTTTTATATTTTAGATATGAAACATTGTCTTTTCTGACTTATTTTTCCCCTTGGAATTTATCACCACCTAACATATTGTACTTTTCATATTATTTGTCTGTCCAGTCTTAAGATATATGTTCCTTGCTGGTAAAAGAGTCCTGGTGGTGAAATGGGTTACAAGTTGGGCTGCTAACCTCAAGGTCATCAGTTCAAAACCACCAGCGACTCCACAAGAGAAAGATGAGGCTTTCTGCTCTCATAAATATTTACAGCTTTGGAAATCCACTGGCGCCCTTCTGCTCTGTCCCAGGGGTTCGACTCTGTCTGTTCTGTCCTGTGACTCAGAATGGCTGGTGGGATGGCAGTAAGTTTCATCTGCTTTGTTCCATGAAGGATCTCTGCTACCTGTACCAGCCATTACAACCCAGCACAGAGCAGGCATTCAAAAGCAAAACAAAAATCACTCGTTAAAGAAACAAACATAAAATTTATAAAATGCTTTTTTCAAATTATAGTCATATAACATCAGTGAAGAGAACGTCATAAAAATAGTCATTCTCTACCTACTAAGATTTTCCCAAGCAAACAACCCCAGGAAGACACAAACAGCAAATGAAGAGCCACCAGTTTACTGCATGTACTGCTCCCAACGTTGTGACTTAAACCCACTGAGAAGTTAAGGTGAAAGCAGATTGAAGGGTTTCAAACTATCACAAATAAAAGGAACTCAGAAACAATTTTTACCGACATCAAAAACATTCTGATCTGAGTCTGCGTATATTTCTGTCTTCCTTCCCTCTGACCATAGCCCCCTTTCTTGCCCGTTCCTGTCTTTTTCCATTTGTTTTATCAGTTGCCAAATGTGCAACAATAACCTGCTGCCAGGAGGCCAGGTTCTATTTTGGAGAAACGTAATTGAAAATGGTCTCTTTATGGTTCTCTCAGCACGCTCCATACTCCTCTATAGCAGCGTTTCCCTAAAGGCTGCTGGTTCACTGACCAGAAGCCTCAGCTCTGTCTGTGGATTTCTTAGAAATGTAACTTCTTAGATCCTTCTCCAGCCAGGCCAAACCAAGACCGTTGTAGTACACTGACTAATAGGAACCTGCCCACACACCCACTGCCACCTGGCCAGTTCCACTCACAGTCTTTACTGGAGGAGATTGCCTCAGCTTTCTCCTTCAGGGAAGCTGGTGGGTTTGCACTGCCAACCTTGTGGCAAGTAGCCCAATGCTTAACCCCCAGCACCAAAAAGACAACCCCAACACCAAACAAAACAAACTCACTGCCACGGAGTCAATGTCGATTCAGAGAGACCCTGTAGGACAGGGTAGAATTTCTGAGGCTGTAACTTCTTATGGGAATAAAAAGCCCTGTCTTTCTCCCTCGGGGAAGCTGGTTGTTTTGAACTGCTAAACAAACCCACAGTTAGCAGCCCAACACGTAACCACTACACCAACAGGGCTATATTTGAAGAACTGGTATATATCATTCATCTTGGTTGGGGCTAGCAATTCGTTTCAACAAGCCCCCAGGAACTTTAAAATGCACATTGAAAGTTGGAAAACATCGGTCTATTAAAGTATTATAGCATTTGTAACCTGAATCCCACCTCCATACAAGAGATTTTATGTTCAATACATGGAACACTCAAAATAAGTCACCATCTTTGAGCATCATATCTCCCACAAAACCAACACTTCTTTTCTCTAAGACATGACAGCAAACTGGATAAATGTAGAATTTAAAATAGACTATTATAAATAAGCAACTTTCTTGATAGATTTGCCAACACAGTATGTGGGGTTCATCTGTTGAGATACAGCGGGAGATCTCTCATCTTCTGAACATCTGTGAGATGGAGGAATTTTTACTTTGGTGAAGGGAGTTTGTATGAATATATATGTGTGTAAATATATATATGTGAATATGTATACACACACTAAAACTCCCTTCACATATGTATATATAATAAGCTGACTTAAAATAAGACTTAGAGGTTAAGAACTAAAACTATCTTACCTTTGAAAAGAGAATCCGTTTGAGTTGCACGTGTCACTTACCATTAGTAGAAATCAAAATCATGAGAGATGAGCGAGAGCATACGAGTTGCAAATAAAAAATGACCACCTTGTTTTAACCTTCCCTCCCACCAAAATTACCAATACGGTTTACTCATACTGCTGTATGCTACTTACCACACGTAACAGTGCACATTCCAAATTCTACTTCTTTGGTTATTGTCGTATTTGAAACTAAACATAAAGTACAAAGATGCATCATTTAATCATGCAAAAACTTTTCTAAGTGAAAAACATAATTAGGTATGGAGATTACATATGCTGATCAAAACGTAATCATATGGATAATAGAAAACTTTTAAGATTTCTGTATAAGTCAGAAAATAATTATTTTTCCTAATACATGATCTGATAATGTTTAAGTTCAAGAGACTCAATCCTTTAGAAGATTAAGTTCACAAGTAACATGTACACAACATTCATATTTAAAGTTGCTATGAGTCAGAATAGACTCAATGATAATGAGTTTAGTTTGGGTTTTTGTAGAATTGAAAATTAATTTATTTTTCATCAGTTAAACCTCTCTAGAAAATCAGGAAAAAAATAGATCTTCCAGGATTAAGGTCTATTTTTTTATATTCCCTATTTTCCAAAAAACAAATTGAACATTTAATTTCCTTCCAAAAGGAACTCATTGCCTTATACCACATATTTATAAAAATTATAATAAAATAGGTGAGTTCTACTCATTTTCCAGATTAAGATTGTAATTTCAAATAGGTCTAAAATTTTATGTCAACACCAGATTTTTCAGGGTAAGCTAGGAGTATTCAAAAATTGAGAAATGTATTATTACTGTTTTCTAAATAAAATATTTCACTTTTTCCCTAACGTTTAGGCAATTTGGAATTAATTCCACTCTCTATGCACCCACAACAAAAAAAGAGCCCGGTGGCGTAGCAGTTCCGCTTTGGGCTGCTAACTGCCAACTGGGCTGTTTGAAGCCACCACTCTCTCCAGGGGAGAGAGATGGCGCCTTTCTCCTACCACGAAGAGGGACAGGCTTAGAAACCCACACCGGCAGTTCTACCCTGTTTTATGGGGTCATTGTGAGTCAGAGCCATCTTGGTGGTAGGAGGTTCTTTTGCTGTTGCTACTTTTTTAACGCACACATGAGTCACTATGGGCCGGAATTGGCTCGAGTAACTAATGAAAACAGTGATACATACCTTCATAGCTCAGATTAAGATTAATCTCAGTAGAGAAACATTATAAAACGACATTTAAGGGATATTTTTGACAAAGCAGTTTGCCAAAGCTATGTTTACATTTGTTATTATTAGTTGCTGTGTAGTTGACCGCAGCTTATGGTGTCCCCCAAGCATACAGGATACAACTGCTGCATCTTGTTTTGAGGTTGTGACTTTTGAAAAGTAGATTGACTGTCTTCTAGGTGACTCTGGGTGGGTTTGAACCCAAAATTTGGGCTAGTAGTTGGGCTCTTAGTACTACCCACCAAACTAAACTCATTGTCATGGAGTCAATGGGTTTCTGAGACTGCAACTCTTTACGGGCGTAGAAAGCCTCATCTTTCCCCCATGGAGCAGATGGTAGGCTTGAACTGCTAACCTCATGGCTAACCCACTCGACCCCTGGGTTCTATTTGCACTACCCAGGGACTGCAATTATCACATTAACTGAGGGTCAAGTATATTACAGGAGAAAGAGGATAGGGCTTTGAGTCTATAGATCTGTGTCTGCCTCTAATGAGCTGTTGAATTTGAACAAATTATTTCAGTCCTCTTGGGCCCAGTTAGACTTTGTGTAAAATTTGGAAAGGAGAACCTATCTCGTTTGATAATTATAAGAATTAAGTACGATACTGTGTGTTAAAGCATTCGATTAATTGTCAGGCAATATAAAAAGATAAACAAAGTAGCCAGTGCCATCGTTGTCATTCCACTCGATGGTAACCCTGCCTGTCATTCCACTCGATGGTAACCCTGTCTGTCATTCCACTCGATGGTAACCCTGCCTGTCATTCCACTCGATGGTAACCCTGTCTGTCATTCCACTCGATGGTAACCCTGCCTGTCTAACATTTGGCGCCATGAACATCATTTAAATGGGCAATTACCATCAAGTCAATTTCAACTCAGGGTAACTCCACATGTACTAGAGTGGAGCTGTGTTCCATAGGATTTTTGTTCTTTGTAATGATATTCTACTGTGCTTTTGGTGAAAATTTACATAGCAAATTAGATTCCCATCTGACAGTTTCTACATAAATGGTCCATAGTCACCCTACCCTTACTGTCTCGTCACTCCTTTAAAGTAATGGTTAACCTTTTGGTCTCACAGAGATGGCTTTTTAATGGGGCTCCATACTCACAGATAATATCCTTTATTATTATTATTATTTGTACCAATGTGTTATTTTGCAAAAAGGTGACCTGGTATCATTTTGGTTCAATGTTTCCAGAGCTCAGGGGATTGTCAGGGAGTCCCCTAGTCTCAACTGATGCACTACGTCTGAATTTTTGAAGACTTGAAGTTCTGCTCTACTGCTTTCTCATTCATACGGCTTTTTACATGGCTACAAGCTTAACAGGAGCCCTGGTGATGCCACCGTTAAGGTCTTGACCATTGAGTGAAAAGTTGATAGCAGGACCGTACCCAGTGGCATAGTGCAGAAAGACCAGGAGAACTGCTATGATAGAGATTTCAGCCCAGAGATCCCTGTGGGGAAGTTATACTTTTCACATGGGGTTACTATGAGTTGAAATCAGGGGATCACATCCAATCACAGCCAAACAATCTTACAGAAATATGTCACCAAGCTTTTCTACCCAGGTTCCTCTGGGTAGACACAAAACTCCAACCTCTCTGTTAACAGCTGAGAATGCCAACCATTCATGCCACCCAGGACACACAAATGTGCAAGACCCTACAGATAGCTAAATCAAACTCAACCTGTGTTTATGGATTTCATTTAATATAACACATTTTCCCATTTTGATTACTATAAACCCCCAACATTTTAATAAACACTTTCTTCTGCATTTACAAGTACCAAATACAATGCTGCAAATACATAGTAGGTGCTTGATGTAAATTAATGACTGACTTTGTTAAATAAATGATTTTGACTATCATGATTATTGACTATTAATTTTGAATTGACATTTCTATACCTGAAGTGCTTGGATACTGTCTGCTGACATAAAATAAGATCTAAATTTAAAGCTATGTTTTCATGAGCATAGAAAATTGAGGAAGAGAATGCATACCGAACTACATATTGGTAAGAAAATGAATGCTGTGTTATATTTCTATATCTTTAAAAAAACAATTCAACAGTCAATCAGCTCTGCTATTAACTACCTATATTACTAGGGGCAAAATATTTAATGTATCTTTCCTTTAGTTTCCTCATAGAAAGAAAATTAGGCAATTTCATTATATGGTCTGTAAAGTCTTTTTCTGCTTTAATGTTCTATGATAAATTGAGTGTCAGTTAGATTGTCCAATAATTTTCTTTAGTAGAAATTCCACAATGGTAAATTGATAGCTCAGAGAAACTATATGTATATATATGAGAGAGACAGTTAGGTTGAATGTAGAATTTCTCAGAAGCTCCTACTCTACGCCTATGAGTAAAAAAGGGCAAAAAGGTGGTTAAGCAGTTCAAATCCACAGAGGCTAATTAATTGGGTTGATGTAGCTGTGAAAAGAGTGATGTTTCACGGGGCTCTATTCTGTTCAAGATTTTTATTGATGACCTCGACAAGAACATGTAAATCATGACTGAATTCATGGATTCTATGATCCTAGGAAGAAGATCAAATATGCTAACAATAACTCTGATATAAAAATGACAGCTTGGAATAATGGATAAATTTAATATAATGAAACATAAGAAAAATAAATAGCAAGTCCTACATGTAGGGTGGAACAGCCAATTATCCAGAAATACTATATGGGTTGACTTAGTTTGGTATGAAGAACGGGTAAGAATAAGTAGAGAGTGTGGTTCACAGTGAATCAAGAAAGAAATGTCTTCCTTCAAAACCTATTGTGTTTTACATTGCGGTGATAAAAATTGGCATCCACAATGAAGCAGATAAGAACCCTTTGCTTTTTTCCTCTGGTCAGATTGCCAAGAGTTCTTTCCGGGTTGGGGCAGCACACTTCAACTCTTGCTAGACCATTGGTGTCCAACTTTTATTTAAGGGGTGTTTTTTGAGGGTTGATTTGTAAGCCTGGTATTTCATTACCTTTATTTATTTTTTATTTTATTAGAAATTATCTGAGCAGAAAGTGAAAATACAATTACATTCTAGTGTAAGTATTTTAAACTCTTGTTGTCCTTTAGGTCAATTGGACTCTTTTATAAAATAATCCCATAAAATGCACACACTCGCAAGCACACACCATCTGTTGTTTTCTTATTGCTTTGCTCAAATTATTGCATCATCTTTCAAGATGCTATCAAATAAGCATTGTTTGGCTTTCATTGAACATAGTTGAGATTTTTGCTCGCAATGACAAGAAAAAAACAACAGAGAGAGATATTCACAATTAGTGCATGAATCAGAAGAAACTTTTGGTGCTAATGAGGATGGTGAAATTGATTGTAAAAGCAAAAACCTTAGACAGTAAGAGTTGATGGTATCTTGGGTGAATTTCCTGGATGGATTATCTCTAACTCAAAAATCAATGAATGAATATTATATTTCTGAGGATGAAAAGTCTATATAATATCCTCATCCAATAGTCTTGATAATAGCAAAGATTCTGTATATTGAAATCGTTTGTCTCAAGAATCTGGACCATCCCATTTTGTTAAAAGAGTGGGAAATATGTGTTCTTTCTGTGATGTCTGTGCACACATTTTACTGGACTTACTTGACTTGTAAATGAATAAATGATGTTGGCAGGTGTGTCTATAAAGGTGGTTAGAAGGGACTAATGTAGGAAATAAAACTTCTTAGCCTGGCCATTCTAATTGGTGTTTATAACCTGTCAATGAGCACATTTCACAATTCTGAAGGCTTAACAAAATTACAAGCCTTCTAAGTTCTTACAAGAATTGTCTTGACAATGTAAGTGCAAAAAGAACCAGAAGTCATGATCACTTAGAATCCATTGAGAGATTTATTTGAAATATGACTGATTTCAGTTAATGAACAGTAAGTTGTATTTAAGGAAATTTGTCAATTTGGGGCTTCTAAACTGTCAAAATCCGAAAATATGACTTAAAGGTGTGTGTTTTCCATGTTTATATCTTTCATAAACGTTCTAATTAAGTTGTTTTCATAATCCCTTTATGCTTACCCTTGCAAATTATATATTATTTTGAAATATGAAATAAACGAGGGTCCATTGAACAATGATGATGATTTTCCCTGGTACACCAAGCACCAAAGGTTACTTTCCTACATTTTAATGATAGTTCAGGAATTCAGGCCATTCAAGTTGTTTTAAATTCTGGATTCTGGCAGACTTCCAGGGGAAATACCTCTGCATGACACTATATATAAAATTCCAGAAGGTTCATGGGCTCCCTGAAGTTCATCCTTGCCCCTGTTTCATGGAAGAGAACATTGAAGCACACGAAAAAAGAGAAAGAAACTTTCCTACATTTGAATTTGAATCCAAGACAGTCTTATCTTACTACAGAGGGTGGGGAGGTAGGGGGTGGGGAGGGGGGCGGGGCGCGAGGTTGGGGGGAATAGTCTAAAGTCGATTACAGCTAGAACTATCCCTTGACCAGTTTACAATTACCATCATTGACTCAAGTACTTTAACACTCAGAGGGAACAACTAGCCCCCTGTTTGGGGACATGTTCTTTGCTTCCTTCTTCATCTTCATTTTTGCATTTCCACAGCCTGGGACAAATCCAAGCTCTCTGGAGTGCAATGCTATCAAGGCAGTACAAACCTTGATCCCACAATTAACCTCAGACAGCCAATTGCTTTCTGTCACGGAGGGTCACTATCTGTCATGAGGGAATTAGAGAAAAGCTGCCAAATACAGCGTACATTCTATATGGATAGTTTGCGGAGACATGGGAATGCCAGGAGCCTCCGCTGCGTGGGTCATGTATGGGGAAGGGACTTGCAGGCTGCAAATCTACAACTGGCCCTCCTTACCCAGCAGCACTGGAGTTTCTAATCAGTGTGACACTGTGCAGGGCGGCTTGTCGGGTCTTACTGCTTAGTGAACCAGCAGAATAAGGTAAACTGATGTGCCTGGCACCAGCTCCTCTCCCCTTGGTCAACACCTATCTTCTGCCAGAGCCAACAGCTGCGTAACCTTGATGGCTGCTTTCTGCTGCCACCCTTCCCCTGTGGTTCTGGGGAGAGCCTACAAACAGGCACCACCACCCAGGGCCGGGCTGCACCGAGGGGACAACGGGACAACACGTCCCTGGGCAGTTTTGCCAGATGATTGTTGTGCCCAGGCGTGTCACAGTGGCCTCTGGTTCCATCCCAAAGGAAAGAGGCCCTTTAGCCATCTGGAACTTTCCAGACCAAACCAAACCACATGGGGACGAGGACAAATCACTTCAAGGGGAGTCAACATGATTCGGGTTTGTGAGGGGCTAACCTTTGTGCCCCCCCGCCCCCTAACAAATCATCAAAGGCAGCCGTATCTTTCTCCGTGTCCAGGGAAGGTGCGTTTTGCAGTGTTTCTGCAGCAGTTCTACATGTGTGCTTGTTCGCCTTGGGAAGGCCCTCAGGTGCGCAAAGTGGACCCTTTGGGCGTCGGGTTTGCAGACCAAGAGCGCGCTCTGGGGAGTCCCCCAGGGCAGCCCAGCGGAAGGGCAGCCCCGGGCCTTCGCCCTCACCCTCATCCTCGGGCTCACTGGCCGCATCCGTCTCCACCTCGGCGTCGGTCTCCGCCTCGGCCCCGGCCTCCGCCTCCGCCTCCGCCTCCTCTCCATCCCACTTTTCCTTTAGGTTAGCTTCAGGTTTTCTTTCCTGCATCTTATCACTGACTGTCTCAAGGTGTTTTTCTATTGATTTCAGCACCCTTCTTCAT